CATTCTGACACCGTATTACTTTGTACACAGTCCATCACAGTTGCACGCTGTTAGTAAAAATATTTTTTGGAGAAGTCAACTCCCAATAAATGTCATTTTGGAAAATCTAACTGCTCACTTTTACTCAGTACTTTTACTTTTGATACTTAAGTAGATTTTGTGCCTGCTTGGATCTGTTATTATCTCGCTCTGAAGCACAGAGGAGTGTCAGGGGTAAGCTCGTTTCAAATGATTTTTATAACGTAGTCTCATTTCCGGACTCAGGCATTTTGCCGATATTTCAGTTAAAATACATAAGTAAAAATATTTATCCGAGTATATTACTACCCCCCAACTTTATGGATGATTTTATGGATTTAATTTCACGTATTATACTTGAATAAATATGGTAAGTCAAAAAGTCATCTATTACAGCTCCAACTTTTCAAGAACCGTGACAAAATGTTAGGCAGCAAACATTATGTAAATGGCAATATATAAATGTGTAGATGAAACGTTAACGAGCCACTCACAGTAGACATCGACATTGCGGCTGATGTTGGTGCTGCCCAGAGAGTTGGTAACTTCACACGAAACAGGCTCTGTGAAGAAGGAGTGATCCACGATGCCCTCATATGTGTCCCCTGAGACATCCTTCATTATACTTCCTCCTTTGGCCCACCTGATATTAACAATGGATTGGGATTAAAAAAAAAGACAAATTTAAAAGAAAGGAAATATAAAAATCATTACGATGGGTTTTTACCCCACATCCCTGATGTCAATAGTGTTTTTTTTTTTTGTTTTTTTTTGTGTGTGTGTGTGTGTGAATAAATCATAATTCAGGGGCAGATTTGCTGTGCTGGTTTCAGTGTTTTTTTTATATATATTTTTTTGTGGCAGCCCTCCACACAATGACAAGCTTTCTGGCAGCTTCGAGCAGACAGCACGTTCCTCATTACGCCTGACAGAGAGCAGTGCCGAGCACCAGCTAAGAAAAACAAATCACAGAATGACAAATGGGTAGCTCCCCCACCTTTGAAGACATACTGTATTAAACACAACAGCTGACAATAATAAATTGAGTTGGGATCACATGAAAAAAAACGAGGAAAAAAAAAACATCTGTTTGTGTGTTTGAATGATATCTAGTGTGACATGCCACACGTGTTTCAGGTGAGACTTTTATGTTGTCAGCTGTGTCTCAACCTACATGCTTTGTTTTGACTCTGCTGCTGCAACAGACAAGAGCCATTTATAAAAATAAAGTGAAGGTGACTGTCAATGTGGTGTTTTTTTTTTTTTTTTCAAAAACGTAGATGCTGTTGTGAGACACATAATGCTTCATGCACGTTGAAAACCTCCACAGAGACATGTGGCTGCATGCTGATGTGGCAAATTAAAACAGACCCGGTGGCTGTCTCCAGTTTACATTTCTGCCAGTACCAAGAAATTAGGGAGAAAAAAAAAGTTTTCATGGGAGCACATTTGTTTTCCATGACTAAGCTGGCCTGATGCTTGACTAAAATGCTATTATTTACCTCATTCAATCTGTAAGTGAACTGAAGCATAATTCTAATTGGGCTTCATGGGATTTTTCTTTTTTTTGTGTGTGTATGTGTGTGCTCATTTATTTTAAACAGTATTTTTTTTTTTCAGAAAGCTCTGTACCAGCCACATTTCAAGAAACAAAATGTTAAAATGAATGTACCGGTACTAGCATTCCTTGAAGGAATGTGGGATTCTTTGTTCACTTTTTTCAATAATTTTACTTTTAATACTTAAATATGTTCTATAACAGCAATTTATGTTTGAATTAAGTACAATAAAAGTCAAATATTTGAAGACTTTTACTCAAGTGATATTCTTAGAGAAGACTTTAATTATCACCAAAGTAATTTTATTTTATTCAGGTGTCACTTTGTGGTATTTTATACAACACTGGTGAAACAAGTAAACCCATTTTGGTCAAATATTATAGACTATTTAATGCAATATTTCATGTAAGGTATTCTAAGATGTGTTAGTGCTCAGAGCAATATGTTGAGGATGACTTTAAGCTTCATTAAAATCCATTCACTGGTTTGTGAGACATTTCTCTAACAGATGGTATTGATTCTAAGAGTTAATGTTAAAGTTTTAAGCACAAAAATGGTGCAATGTATAGCACTCAGAATACTGTATGTGTTGGGGAGGACTTTGAGCTACTATCATAKCAAATTTTAGATTAGTACCTGTAAAATTGTGAGAATTAGAGCTATCCCACAAGATTTTTCTGGCCCAGTTCTGGCCCACACAAGGCACTAACATTATTAGCACTCAACCCAGATACTGCAAACAATAATAGCTCTTTGATGGCCTACATGTGTATTGCCAGAGGTGGTCTATGTATGGGCCAGCACCACATAAATCAAAAACAACTGGGCCTGTTGTAGCATTAACAGATTTGGGCCACATAAACCAAACCACAARTGGTTAAGTTGAGACATGTCYTCTTAAAAACAGTGCTTTCAGTGCCAAACRTGYCCCACATCTGGTTGACAAACCKTACCAGCAGTCAGCCACATCTGCTATGTGAGGTGTTTGTTTTATTGAGGCCACTTAGATGTGGAGGCCATCTTGAGTTGAATCATCTCCAAAAGTTGACCTGCTGTGCATACAGTGATTACTTTCTTAAAATGTCTTACGGCTCATTGGATATTTTGCTAGTGAACAGACAACAACACATTCAAACACAGGCACTGGCACAAACATTATGGCCCTTTCTTTATTGGAAAGCAATAATAAGGGTGAATAGAGTTGTCAAAGCACTGTTATGATACTGTTATGTCACACTGCAAAAATTATGCWTTTAAAATAAGTTAAAAATACTATATTATAATCTGAATCTTCTCAAATTAAGTGCAAGTTTACAAGTGCACTTGGTGAAACTTCTTGAAACAGGGAACATTTCCAGATTAACAAGATTAATAATCTAACACATTCTGCTCTTGTTCAGTATATCAGTCTCAAAACAAGATGAAAAYTACTTTTTGTCTGGATACAAGATTACAAGACTTGGTTAGATGGACAATTTCATTTCAGCTTCATCATATTTTCCAAGTTTTACTGCAAGAAACACAAAGTTTGTGAAACATTGGCTGAGAAATTCATCTTGACTCTTGATGAGCAAAGCACTTTGCCCTTTGATTTGAATGTTTTTTGTCGCAGTTTACATGACTAACGTGGTAAACACGGACGTGGTGAACAGCCTATTAATCACACTTGTGGCATTTGTGGCAATCGTGATAAAAAACAATCGCGATGATGAACAGTGTGGTGAGAGGGATGGTGTTAATGACGATGATGCTGTCAACAAACACGATCGTGAGGATGAGTACTGTCACAGTAGGAACAGTGACCAGTTTGTAAAAGTTCCCTCTTCCTCTTCAACAGCAGAAAAGTTAACTTGTCTTTGTCTTTTCGCCATAGTTCTGGATTTTTTGGACATGTAACAAAAAAAAAAAAAAAAACATGCATGAATGTCTCTGCTTCTAAGGAAGGAGTCTGCAGGTTCACATCAGAGTTTATAATATTTAGTTTTTAGTTCACACAAGAGTTTTATAATATTTCGTTTTCTAGTTGATCTCAGCTTACTGTAATGTTTAACTTTTCTTGTAGGTTTATCTGGGGTTCGAACAGCTGTGGATGCATTTGCTGCTAAAACAGTTTCTCTATGTTTGTCTACTGTAGAAGTAAAACAATTTCTCTTTTAATGAACACTGCTTTCAGTGTGTTCATTTTTTCTTAACTTTAGCTAAATATTTGCAGTTCTGATTAAATATAGTCTATTTGTATTATTTAAATCTGGTTAGTTGTGACAGCTGTCTTAATTTGTGTTAGGGCATTTTTATCACAATGAATGTCCAAAAATGTACATTCAGTAATTACTGTCTGAGACAATAATCAAAATGTTTCCAGTATTTTTTGAGATATTTTGCTAAAAGAAAAACAGGGTTGCCTCTAACCATTTTTGACAAAGTTTTAAACAAAAGTTTTGCACACTTTGTACCACTCAAATTATTCACTGGAGATGATGCTCATCTACTAGTGCACATTTTTTTTTAGTTCAACCTTGTTAAAACTGTCAGAGTTATGGCCATTTTGTCAACAGACAGCGGTGATTGCTTGAATTGGGTTAACTCCAAAAAGTTAATCAGTTGTGAATGTTCCACTCATGATTACTTTCTGAAGGTTTCATTAAAATATGTCTTGTGGTTTATGAGATATTTTGCTGACAACCAGAGCTGACTCCAAATGTCAACGTTTAAAAAAACATACCTACCTTGTCTGATCAGTTAGCATTTGAAGTATTTGTTAGGATTAAGTGTTTTGCTACCAACCCACCACATTTTAGCTCAATAATTATGAAATAGACTTAAATATAGCTATCTTTGTGTTTGCAAACATTGCTTAGCTGTAACAGCTATCTTGAATCAGGTTAACACTAAACGTTAATCAGTTGTAGATTTGCATTAAATGATCTCTTTCAGAATGTTTTATTCAAATTTTTTCAGTGATTCATGACATATTTTGCTAACAGACAAATGATCAGACACAGACAACATTATTGCCATTTCAATAAAGACCACAGTGTGGCAATTACCATCCATTTAAAGCAGCAACAACTGAAATCAAATAATTACCTAAAAAATGACCACACTCTGGTTGGACAAAAATCTGACCCTTCAGCAATGGTTTCTAATGAGCCTTGGTTCACACATTTGTAGTGATTGTGAAAGCAGTGATACAGATGACTATAAAACCATAAGTGTGTGTCACTGTTTGCCTCTTCACTTTATTGTCTCACGCTGCAGGAGTCGTAACGGCTTAAAGGCAGATGTTTGGGCAGCCGGCTGCTCCCCGAGTGGAGGCTGCAGCTGCCAGGTCAGGGAGTCCTTCATGGGAGCAGAGGCAGAGCGCCCTCCATCCTCGGGGAGCAAGGGAGCTCTGTTGGCGTGCTCTGCCTGGTCCGAAACTCATGTCTAAACATAACTGGCCTCGGGTAACACAAACACCTGCATTCCCTCAGGGAGGGCAGAAGGGCTGATGTGAGCTTGCTCAATAACTGACTCACTCTACATCGCTGAGTCCTATTCTGGGATTTCATTCAGACAAAGGCTGGGAATCCTGTCTGCCCGAGTGTGTCTGTAGGTCTGCATGTCTGCAGCTATATGGAGAGTTGGATGCTGTATGGCTGTTTGTGCTAACTTTGGCCATGCTGCATTTGCTGAATGTGATCAGGGTGACAAATGAGTGAAAATACACACAGGTATTTGAGCCATTAGTTTCAAGACTTGAAGTGAGTTAGGCTTCTCCGTTATTATACTATGGAGTTATTATACTCTGTTCATCTTGAAAAGAGGTTTTGTGGACAAGTTATAGAGAGTTACATACCATTCTAAGTGCAAAAATCATTATCAGCAGTAGACTGTGGCTTTTCCTATGCAACTTGTAGTCTATTCCAGCAAGAATTTAATATTTTTGCCGCAAAAAGGAGATGCCAAAAGACAAAAAAGACATAAATAGCAAAAAAAGATGTAAATGGAGACAAAAGGGACACAGAGTATGTTATGAAGGCCCTGTCACACTAACGTTTTAGACAACATATGCCAATTTATGTACATTTTAAAGACATCTCCT